AATAAATATCTTTCCTTGTGTTTACATTTCCTTTTTGCTATTTACTGAAATTTGAAAAGAGCCATAGACTCTGTTGCCTTTTCAAAATTCTGGATTATATAAAAGTGTGGTCCATGAAAATCAAAATTTTCATATACAGGCTAAATTAAAATGAATACCCATTTCTGGTATCTATGTGTTTTATTTAGAAAAATAAAAAGAAACCTAAAGGCTGGTAAACAACAAGAGAGATTATAAACTATGAGTAAGGAAATGATAATAACGTGATATTCTTTTCATAAAAAATTAAAAACTTTTTTCCAGGACACTAGAAATATGTTCAAAATACACAGGAAAACTCCACAGCAGAGTGCTTGAATTTGCGCAAACAGCCCAAGGCAAGTAAGAATCTGAATGAAAATTTTCACATAAATCTACTCATTTATTTCTGCAGACCACATTTAAAATAACTACAAGATTAATTTTGTTCCATTTGCTGGATTTACACATCCTGATAGCAAGAAAAACTGTCATTTGGGAAGTATAAATGCTTCTTATAAACAAGACTAGAAAGGGTGGCTAGTGCAGTGAGGTTGGGGGTGGGGAAGCAAACCCTTTAGCTACAATGTTTTAGGGAAATGAATCCACACAATAAAACAAATTTCAAATCAAGTTGCCCCTCTCTACCACATAAGCAGTTTAGAATCTTAAGCAGATGCAAAAGGAATAAAGCAAATGGGGAGAAAAAAGGTCGATAAACTTTCTGGCTGCAATACAAGAGACATATCATTACCATATGATCTAATGTGGGTGTCAGCCGGATTGTGTTCATTGAGGGAAACCTTATTTTTTAACCGTGCTATGGAGTAGAAGCAGGAGGTTTTCAACCTAGTGACAGTCACAGAGCAGCACCTACCCCCTCCTCCTTTCCACACCTGCAAACTCTTTTGCTGGGGCTGAATATTTAGTGTAATTACATCTCAGCTTTGAGGGCTCCTGTGGCAAATCCCCGGATTAAAAGGTATGGTTTTCAATAATTGTCCTGAACTCTGCTACAGACTAATAAAACTTCGATCAAGTTGAGAGCAAAAAGGAATTGTTTGGTGAGAAAAAGGAGACAAAAAAAAATCGTGCTAAACTTTTGATAATCTTTATGCAGCATTTTAAACAAGTATTGCTTGAAGACAGAAGTTAAATATTTGGTAAAGTGGTTGAATGCATTGTTTTAGTTCTTTCTGTTCTTGCAAAGATGTTTATTTAAAAAACTGTAACCTAACACCATGAGTATCTATATTGATATATTTTGTATTTGTACTAATGAAATGTTTTACCTCTTTAGAAAGTATTTATAAAAAGAGTATTCTAGATCAGCATCGAATTTGTAGTTGGGTTATATGTATGTACTTAAGGATTTAGTCCCCTCCTGAATTCTTGCATATGTTCAGAACTTTTAAAACCTCAGTGATGTGAACTCTGGTGATGAGCTGCAGAAGTTAAATGTATATTTCTACAACCTAGAAAAGAACAGAAATTATCATCACAGAGGTGAAAATAAATATTGCAAATATTATGCTGTGTATTAAAGAAAATCTCACAGTTAGCTACATAATTCCTTACAGGAAAAGATAAGACCCAGTCAGTATTCTCAATGCAAATGAAATTGTATTGTAAGATACATCACTAGGGTGTAGGTTATTTTTCTTGCTAATTTCAAAAGAGGGTACCACCGATGACCACTGGTTAAGTGGGCTCCCAGTGACATAAATTCCTGTGGTTTTGCTTTTCCTATTGCTATTTTGACCAGAAAAAGAACCAAATGCCTCCTATAGCAGCCCTTATTTGTGGATAAATGCCTTTTTTATTGTCTATTTTTAAATCATTTCTGTTATTATTGAGGTTTTCCATTCACCTAGTGCTGGGGGATTTTTATTTTTGTCTGTAGTTATAGTTTTACCAATCTCCTGAGGGTTAAATTTGGATTTTGAAAGTCACACCAAAGGCATAAATGACATCCTACAAATGGTGATCTGAATTACATAGTGAATTTAATGGGCTGAAGTAGTTTAAGGAGACAGAAATTATTATTTTTGATGAAACACTTAGAAAGTGGGGCAAGTAGCTTTAGTGCAGTAGTGACATTATACCTAACAATTAGCAGGTAGGAAGGAGTCATACTTTTTGAGAATGCTTAAAACAATTTCAAAGAAACTTGGGAAATATAATATGTCAGTAAATAATCTTCTGGTTTCCACAGGGCAACTGCTATTTTGTGTTTATTTTTCTTATATACTAAGGAAGGAAAAATGATTAAAAATTATTAATATCAATAGCCCCCACTAATTGTTTTAAGATGCTGCATCTTCAAGTATGATGACAATAATTTAAAGAAATAATCTCCTGGGGGAATTTGTATAAAGTTTCTTGACATATTCTTCTCCAGGACATTCAGGGTTAAAATGAACACACACACACACACACACACACACACACACACACACACGCGCGCGCGCGCGCGCACATGCACACGCATCAAAGTGATATAATATAAGTAATGAAAGCTATAAACTTCCTGTTTGTGTTCAGCTTTAACCAAGAAAAATATTGTGCAGAGAATTTGCACCATTTTAACAAGAGGAAACACATATAAATGATAATATTCCTCTGAGCTCATGTTCAACATTTCTTTTTTTGAGTTAGTGAAACAACCAGGCTTTCTCTGCTCTGGAGAAAAGATCAAAAGGCTACATCTGCGTTAATTCGCATTGCTATTTATTAAATCTGCAATTACTTTGCTTCATTTTTCTCCTAAAATTGTAAGATATTAAATATGCAAGGCTAGCAAACTGTGGTAAACCGTAAACATTGCATTTTAATGTGAAACAGACCAAAACCCACTCCCTGAGATCCCGTCCAAGGAAACACTGCCAGAACAATAGGGTCTCCGTAAAAAGGCTATGCAGTAAATGAGTGGGAACATCCTCCTAGGGAAAACCTGATACCAAATTTAAAGGGGCAGCGTGAATAATAACCTTTGTGGTATTTTTTAAATGAAAAGCCACGACCCGTTCTGTATATGTGCTGCCTTATACACACCTCAGTAATAAGTAGAGACTAAGAACAAAAGTGTAAGAAATCCAAAAACTGTTTTTCCCTCTCTAGTGGACCTAGCCAAGATTTTCCAGAAGATCCTTAGATACCTTAAGGTCAGGGCATACAAAGTTGCTTGTTTCGTTGTTGTTGTTTGTTTTTTGGGTTTCTTTCTTCCTTCTTTTTTTTTTTTTTTTTTTTTTTTTTTTTTTTTTTTTTTTGCATATGCTACCATTGGCTGCTGACGAAAAAATCATTCTTTAAGTCTAGTTATGAATTTGCAGCTTTAATATGTTCCTTGTAAGTGTACAATTCAACGTAGATGTGGCAAAACTAAAGATAGTATCTACAATGTGTTTTTGGAATCCTTAGAACATTTCCAGTGGTGTTTTAAAATGTATCAGCTCAAAAATAGACTGCTTATTCTCCATATGATCAACTACTTTTTGTCAATTAAGATTTATTTAGTTCACTTCAGCTAACAAAACAACAAATTCAACAACAGATATATAAATCTAAAGGGCTTCTTGAATGAATGGAGAAGTACATGGATTTGTCAAAACTGTACTTTTATTTCTTTACAAAAACCCAGGTAACATGGGAGTCATATAAAAATCAGTAGGATTTTCCATAGATGTTTATTTGTTTTTTTTAAAAAAATGATCAGTTTGAGAAACTGGTCAATAGATTTATTTTGAAAAGTAAACTGTGCTTATACCAAATTTAAGTTTTGGATTGGTTACCTTCCTCATGCTAGAAATTTGCTATTGAAAAAAATATAACTTTGTGTTTTAAAAAATCAGACTGGTTGCTTGGAACAAACCGAATAACGTGTATTGTTAATAAATTGATGGTCAATTGAGTCATTTTTGTGCAAAATATTGTGCAAGGCCTGGGTACAGAACAAAGAATAATAAGACACGCCCTGAAGGAGTGCATCTTCTAGCTGGGGGGGGACAGACCAAGCACGCCAAACAAATTACAGTATAATGTGATAAGTTCTTTAAAAGAGGTAAGAGCAACGTGCTTTGGGACACAGAAGAGGGAGGAAGCAGCATCCTGTGTGGATGAGCCAGGGAATACACAAGGGAAGTCCATTATCTCATTCAATCTTTACAACTCTCTCCCAAGGTAGGTATTTTAAAGGGCAATTAGCTTTGAGTGTCAAGGCTGTGGTGGGGGTCTGGAGTGGAGGAGTGGAGAGGAAATGGAGAGAAACAGGGCTTGAAACATCGGCACCAAATTGTGAATGGTCTCACTTGCAGCAAAGGGGATGTGGACCTGATGGGCAAGCCTTGAGAAGTCAACAAGGAGTTTTCAGTAGAATAGAAATACAATGAAATCTGATTTTCTGAACATGACTTGGGCAGCAGAGTTGAAGATGGCCTGGAGTAGAGGGAATCTTCAAGGCCAAGGCCGAGACCAGTTGGAAGCTCTTGTGAAAGTTCAGGGAGTGATGAGAAAGGTCTGGACCAAGATAAATACAGTGGGATGGAGAGAGGAGATTGGCTTCCAGACACAGGAATTGGAGATCTCTCATGTGTATAGATGAAATTTTATTTGACTGTAGCATGGCTTATGTTGAATGAGCATTGAAAATTCCAACGTGATCTATCATCTTAAAGATTTTGCAAATGATGTGAATATATATTGCCTTAATTCAGACTCCAAATTCAAGCAAGCAGATTTCAAGAACATTCACATTTCTTTACATAAGTAAATAGCTGTGCCAGGTAGTCTATTGTGTACCTTTCAAATACATTTCAATATTCGGCTTCCTAACAATAAATGAAATATGGTTTTTTTTATGCTTTACACTCACTCTACTGTGGGGTGTCATATCAGAGATAACACCGTAACCAGGCAGTGCTACTCCTCTAACCCTTTCGTTTGTTTCCCAGGTTCCTTGGCAGTGAAAATACGTGAGATAAATCATGAAGGCAACTATCATCTTCCTCCTGCTTGCACAAGTTTCCTGGGCTGGGCCGTTCCAACAGAGAGGCTTATTTGACTTTATGCTAGAAGATGAGGCTTCTGGGATAGGCCCAGAAGAACACGCTCCTGTTGATTCTGAATTAGAGCCTCTGGGGCCAGTGTGTCCTTTCCGCTGTCAGTGCCACCTTCGAGTTGTGCAGTGTTCTGATTTGGGTGAGTAGGTGCAGGAGGCTCTCTTCCCTTACCTTGTTTTATGTTCTATTTTTTTTGTTACTGTTTGTTTCAAATAGTTAGTTAACATATCCCCTACCCTGTTGTGTTCACAGGAATGGGCTTCCTTGAGAGTTAAAACATTTTCATTTTGAATCCCCGCAGTTCCAAATGTGAGAGACAGTGCCACCTATGGAGAAGCAAAGGAAGCCGAATAGCATAGAAAGAAGTAGACTTGAAGTTAGGAGACTGTTTTCTTCCCTTTCTTAAAGTAGGGCCTCCATCACTTGCACAATCTTGGACAAATCACGTTTTGAAAAATCTTTCTGAGCTTCATGGTCCCCCTTCTTTGAAATAAAATTTTGAACAAATCACTGTCCTATGATTCCAAAGTGAAGGCTCATTTGCTTCAGTGATTTGCTTTCAAGAAATACTAGATATTAAGACGTGGGTGATGTCTCTACTCTTGGCTTAGCCCAGATAACGGTGTTTGAACATTACTAAATTGTAAAGTATGTAGAGTTATCAGAAGTAAAACAAGTAAAGTTTTAGAACAAAAAATTATCTTTCAAGTACCAAACTACTCCCTTAATCTCTGGGTCTTAGTTTTGGCTTTACATTTGGCATTCTGTAATCTAGCTATTCATATTCTTTAGAAAGTTTCAAAAGCAATCTTTACAGCCAAGATATGGTGTAAATATCCAATATAATCACGAGACATATAACTTTAGCCCCACACTGTATACACTTTGATTTATCATGTTTCAGGAAAAATTTGGCCTGGGAATTCCAAGAGCAATACACTCAAAAGATAAATCTCCAGAAAGTTTGAGGCCCCAGCAGATGGGCCAAAGGGGAATGAATGTAGTTGACATGACAGTTGATTTGTATCTCTCTCTCTCTCTCTCTCGGTTCATTTATTATAAGGAAAAATAAAGAAAAAAAAAATCCCCACAGAATGACTTTACCATGGGGTATGGAGTATTTCCTTACAGGAGAAACTCCATAGTGTAGTAGGGTACTTCTTTTCGACACTCTATATTTATTCAGAACACGCTTTCTAGCAATATTTTGCAGGGAAATTTGCCACTAACTTCTATAGTTGGAATAAACTGCAAACTAGAACCCAGGAAAACATAAAACATGTTCAATACTAACAACTGAAAATCAAACACTTCAAGATAGCTTTTTCAGTGCTGACGTATTGTATAGCCATTTAACCCCCTCCCCACTAAAGTGTGTAGAAGGCTTTAAAAAGGCTACAGGATAATTCCACTGGATTCATGTATTCATTCAGCAAATACATTGAGACCCCACAATGTTGTAAGCCCTGGGAAGAAAGGAATGAGGAAGACAAATATGGTCCTTATTCACGTGGGTCTGATATTATATTAGTGGTGATTATTTCTTTTTTGAATTGTATATTCACTACAAGGGGGATTAGATTGCTATCAAATTCTATAGAATCTATAATGGGGCACCTGGGTGGCGCAGTCGGTTAAGCATCCGACTTCAGCCAGGTCACGATCTCGCGGTCCGTGAGTTCGAGCCCCGCGTCAGGCTCTGGGCTGATGGCTCAGAGCCTGGAGCCTGTTTCCGATTCTGTGTCTCCCTCTCTCTCTGCCCCTCCCCCGTTCATGCTCTGTCTCTCTCTGTCCCAAAAATAAGTAAACGTTGAAAAAACAAATTGAAAAAAAAAAAAAAAAAGAAACTATTATAAGCATCTAGAGATTACCTGCCTTATATAGGCAGAAAAATAATGGAGATGAAAATATCTGAACAGAGGAATCATCATATGATGGATATACTAGTGGTAAACTTTTGTTTTTTTAATGTTTATTTATTTATTTTTGAGAGAGAGAGAGAGAGAGAGAGAGAGAGGCAGAGAGAGGCAGAGAGAGAGGGTGACAGAGAATCCCAAGCAGGCTCCATGCTGCCATCACAGAGACTGATGTGGGGTTCAAACTCAAGAACCATGAGATCATGACCTGAGCTAAAATTAAGGGTCAGATGCTTAATCAACTGAGCCACCAGGTGCCCCAAGTGGTAGACTTTTAAAAAATTTATTAAATGGCCAAGTTCCTAAGACATGTGATACACGTTAAATCTCACTTGGCCTCTCGTAACAACGTTAAAAAGATTCATGATTATTCCCACTACATATAATACCAACAATGAACAGTTGATAATTTTAAGGAGAAAAGACTTGTTCGGTCACTTCACTGGTTTTATTTTTCCATAGATGTGGCTTTATTTTGCTCACATGATAAATAGTTGATAAAGCTTGACTCTGATGAAAGCATTGAAGACAGTTTTCTACTGGTCTTTCATAAAAAAGGCCTAAGGCTATTTCTCAAAACTAAACAGAAAAATCCAGTCTCAGGAAACATCAAGTTCATTGACTTGGGTGTCTCATGATACGGCTTTGTTGTTGTCCTTGTTATTATTTTGTATTGTTTATTTTGAGTTGTTTTTTGATGAGGAAATTTTTTACGTGTTACCTTTATCTAAGAGCCCAGAGTGCACGTCTTTCCTGTAAAAGGTTTACTGACATTATATACCAAAGAAGTAGCCAACATTGTAATAATGATTTGTTTGGGGAAACCCTATATAATTAAGAGAACTGAGTTCCCATGAGCAATGGTCTCATCTAAGTTACTTTTAGTTTCTGTTAAATTCATATTTAAATATATTGTAAATAATTTTGGTCAGATATTTCTAAAACAGAAAATACATTTTTAAGTGTTTATTTATTTATTTTGAGAGGGGGCGGTGGGGGAGGGGCAGAGAGAGGGGGAGAGAGAATCCCAAGCAGGCTCTGCACTGTCAGCATGGAGCCCAACCTGGGGCTCGAAGTCACGAACTGTGTGATCATGCCCTGAGCTGAAATCAAGACTTGGGCGCTCAACTGATTGAGCCACCCAGGTGCCCCAATACAAATTTTCCAAATAAGGATTCTATGGAATAAAGGCTGAAAGATATGTAAAAAAGAAAAAAAAAAGGAAGGAGAAATAGGCAACCTTGTTCATAGTAAAGGCAATGCAGTTTATTTTTTGGTTTAAATTTTCTAGTGATCTGAACATGAGGCTTGAATTATTATAACAGAGGAAAAAAAAATGTAATGCACTTTGGAACGAGAAATGTGAATGCTTATCTGCATCAAAGGCTAATGTTTTCTTAAGGATTATCCTTGCCAGAGCTTCTAATGAGGGGAGAGGACCTACAGTGTTGAAGGACAGTAGGCCTTTGTCATCTAAACAATGTTTAACAGAAGCAAACATTTCTTATTAAAACATTTGACTATTTTTGCCACTAAGAAGTATTTTTAACAAAGTTAAATGGCATCAAATTTGTAAACAGTTCTTTCAAAGCTGAGTTGTTAAAACTGTGAAGTTACAATTGAATAATTAGTCCATGGGAAAATTCGAGGTGGTTCAAGAAGACATTGACTGCTTTCATCCTTCATTCTAATGTATCTGAATAGCATTATGATATATTTTCTATAGCATGTTTATTATTTCTATAGCATCCAGGATTGAGAAAGTGAGCATATTTCAACCTGTCCAAGAAATAATGAATGCTCCATAGATATTAGCCAAGTTGTTTGGCTGAATTTCTTGTACTTTCTTGTAATTGCAGTTTGGATCAGAATTTTATGAAACCTCTATCTTCCTTCTTTCTTTTTTCTCTTAAGACATAAAGCAATTTACTCTTAAATGTAACATTTATTACAAAAATAAAATAAACATAAGCTTAGCAAATTTGAAATCTATGAGTTCCCTTAAAATCAAAAGGCACCAATGTAACTCATTTTAGTGAAATCTTTTCCAAATGTTCTAATATTGATCCTGTGATTGGAAGTTCTGTTTTACGTACCTAATATCTTGCAGGAAAACAGTCCCCTTACTTATACGTATCCTCTTTGGCCCAAGTGTTATCAGGCAACCATTCGTCTTTGGCTCACCTGTTACCAGGTAGCATTTTTTGGTACTTTCATCTTGCTGCTAAAAGGCAGATCGACCCTGGCAGGTAAAATAAGAATCAGCATTGTTTTTGACTATTCTTCCAAACTTAAATAATACTTGTCGATACAGTTCCTATAAGCAAACTTGAAAAGAATTTAAATACCTTTTAAAATTATTTAATAGTTGAAAGAACTTGGGTTATGCTGTTCAATACCTCTGAACTCAAGTTCTGCTTTACCATTTACTACCTGTAACTTTGCAACTTTCATTGGGTAAGTGGGAATAGATCCCATTTCGTTAGGTAAGAATAGAAATGTTTGTAATAGGGTTTACCATTCTGTTGTATTTAGCTTACCATTTAGCTAGTCACATGAGGCCATTCCTCATAATGTTCTTGTATTTTTCTTTGAAATTGAGAATCTCTAAGAAGTACATGGCTTGTCAAGATTGATATAAAATAACACCTTCTCTCCCCTGCCTCCCAAAGGGACTGTATCACCTCCAGCTATAAGCAGACATGAATGAGAAAATGCTGCAATTATCAAGCAGTTCACTCTTCTCCAAACACTATTCCTTTGAATAAAAGGGGTTTGGTTAAGTGGAGAACAATGAAACATTTGGCTATTTTATAATCATAAATGATTCAAAACCCACCTAGTTAGCTCTCTAGAGATGATGTCAGAAGATGTAACATTTTATTTTGCCCTGTAAAAGCAGTACAAATACCTACTGATTCCTAAAATGTACTTCATATGGCAAAGGATATTTTAGTTTAAAACAAATCTTAGCAAAAAAAAAAAAAAAAATACAAAGCCTTCAAGTTGCATAGAGTTACTTTTCTTCTTTTTAATCATTTTGCTTCAACTGGTGAAAATTTTGTTAGTGGCCACCACTTGAGACCTATATGCCATAGCTTGTTTCTTGTCTGGGGAGACTGGTTTTCCAGAAGCAAATTTTATCCATGAGGTAAATGAACCATTACACTTACTCTGTGAAATCAACTCGGAAGAATAAGTTAGGGCTGTTTTGTAGAGGGGC